GCATCCTTGCCTGTCCTCAGCTGAGGTAGTCCTCAGAAAACACAGGATTTACATTTAGACTTGAGTGCTGCCGTGTTGCACTGTGTCATGCGCACTGAGGATACTCCACAATCTCCACTTGACTTTTCTGCACTGGAACCTCAGGCAAAAACAGTCAGCTGAGGTGAAACGTTCTAAGAGAAAAATAAGAATTCAGATCATATTAAACGCCAAAGTAACAATAAAACAAAAGGAATTATTGAGATATTCAATCACGTTGACATGCAGTTCACAAATGGACAGCGTTTGATATTGAGTGTTTGTATTATTACACTTTAAGCCACAGATGAGCCAGTCTCTGGAGTAACTGACGTTGTGTAGTGCTGGGTAAACATAAAATATGTCTGACTGGAGAAATGATTAAAAAAATAAATCTAATAGAAGATCATTGGTTCTATGAACAGAAAGCTCCAGGGCAAGATAATATATCAAGTCATACAAAATGAAATATCTGTGGAAATTAACACTAATCACTTGGTAATGGGACAATATATTTACAGAATTTAATTGTTTTATTTGTAATGTTTCTCATTATAAATAAGAGCTAGTCGTGATTTGTTTGTATATTATGTACTTTTTTAGTTGCACAAACTGCACAAACTGGCACATGATGTCAGCATCACATCTTTTCTTTTATACTTCACAGCCTTTGCCTCCATCAATGTTGTCCTAATCTCTTCATCCCCTTCCTCACTTCATCCTTGTGCCCTCTCCGGAATGTTCATCTTTTCCACCTCCATCATTCCTTGTTCAATATTTTCACCACCTTCTGCAACACAATTCAACTCCACCATGTCTCTCTAACTTTATCTTCAAACTGCCTCAATCCTTATCTGTTTTCCACAATCTTCACATTTCTTTACTCCCCCCCAAAAAATTTCACTGGGACTAAACAGTTGTTTTTAATCCTGATCATAAAATGTTTTAAAATGCAGTAAAAATAAGTTGCATTTAACAAGAGCAGCACATGGTGTATTATTTTATCCAAATGTTAGCGACATTTTATGATGTTATTTCAGCTGTTGAATAATAGAAGACGGAAACAAAACAAAATCTCGTTAAAAACTGGAATTTTTACAATGTAATTACCTTTACTGGATTTACATTCATTTATGCACCAAAAAAGCGAACTTGCTGTATTAAATTAGGGCATAAATGTGAGAATACAACCTTTCTCTACATTTACATCATAATTTGGTGAAAAGATTCCATTCTTGACTGGAAATATTTTGAACCCATAATGCCTTTCACCAGCAGTTTAAAAATTGTATGGACAGGAAACCCTCAACAATGTTGAAAGAGTATTTGTGTGTGTATTGTTTTTTTCTATTGATTATGTCATTCTAACCTTTCTAATTGTGTTACAAATACCAAGGTGGCCCATGCAGCAAGGACACTCTCAGCACATCTATGTCCTCATCAATTCTCATCATTACATCCAAACGTTAAAAACACACAATAACGGACAGGAAGACAGGACAGGAAGACAACAATGGAAACGGTATTGATCAGAGGATTCACCTTTATTTCAATAAGTCACTACACCTCTGGGAAATGAGAAAAAGTGTCATAAATAAACTGTGACATTTAAAACCATAAGGAAAGCACAGACTCAGGTGTAACATAAAAACATCAAACAACATCAATGAGTGTAATTGTTTGCTGATAAAAAGAAGGAAAAAAACCTGACCACTTATAATGAATTGAACCACCATCCTGTCTCCCCCCTTCACGCCCGTGTCATTTAAGTTCTCCACCCACTAATTTCCTTTCAGGGTCAGGTGGGGCTGCTGACTATCCCAGCATGCACCATGTAGAGTCAGGAAAGTCATTACAGACATACACTGCAGATGCTCATTCATGCTTGCAGGCAATTTATTTTTCCCTTCACCTGAATGTAGGAGGAGAACATGAAAAATATGAAGCAGAAACTAATCCTGGAGTCAAACATCAATACAGCAGTTTATGCCATAACGCGGTGTGTAAGCTCCCAAATATTCAGCATTTATGAACAGACTGTAGATTCATTTTGTTGCCTGTGCAGTTAGAAACATTTGGCAGCACAAGTAAATACAAAATAACCACGCAGATGTAATACCATTACTGACCTGCCTCTAGTTAGGATAATGTGTCACACATTTTACATAATAACAAAGATATCTATAGAGCACAGCGCTGGTTGGGTTACAATGCTGTGGCTTGCTACGATGCGACATTGGATTCATTATATTTCCATTATTTGTGGTGGAAAAAAAGCAACGTAATAGATTGGAAGAAAAGAAAGTCACTGCCTTACGTCAACAAATAAATTAAAAAATGTATTCGATTATACCATCACTTTTATAGGTACACCTCTACACCTGTTGTTCTTCTCCCTATCCTTCTTCATCAGTTTCTCATCCCCCAGCTGCCTAGAAAACTAAAATCCAACAATGGCCTAACGCCTGCACTGACTGCACCCTATTGAAAATGTTTTCAATGTCTTGTCGAATCGATGCCAAAGAAAATGAAAACAGTCCTGAAGGCAAAAGGGTGAGACGTGGCACCAGCACCATGTTCCTAATGAAGAGGCCAGTGGGAAGAATTCCCAAAGCCATTTTAGGCGTTGCAGGAGAGGCGTTAAAAAGACAAACACAATCCATCTGTATCTTGGCACACACCTTAGCTTGTCTATTACAGGAGCTTTGGAGGGCGTGTATCAAAGACAGGACAGAGACAATTCTTTGGAGTGCAGCAACAAGAGCTCCTGCAGTGAATAAAGATGAGGAGACAGGAGAGAGGACACACTACCACTTACAGTGAAAAATGAAAAGGGGGGAGACAGGAAGTGAGGGATTTCCTCTCACTACGCTGAGCAACTGTAGGTCACAGTGATTGAGAATGCAATGGGGAAATTAATAATTTTGTTTAGAGCCATACATGTCCATTGAAGATACAGTATAATATAATGTATATAACATATTATATAACATCAGGAGATGCTACAGAGTTCTTTACCTTCACTACTGTTTGACTCACAACATGACAGTGTTAGTCTATAATGAATGTGATGTAAGTACTCATAGCCAAATATACCAGAAAATGTCATTTTTGACATTGTGGTTTTTCTTTTCTCAGTGACAAACTAGGAATGATTGTCTAACAATGACGTCATGCGTAAAAACATGTAAAACAAAAAACATCAAAAACAGAACAAAACAATATTTTATGTGATGTAATGTCATCAATCCTTAATTAGCTTTTACACTGGGTTAATTGGACTCTAAAGTTGTGATTCTAAAAAATATCTTAATCGTGTAAATATAATGTGATCCATTTGCCCAACATAGGCCCCTGGGATTTGAGCAGAATTAAATATATATATGAAGAAAAAACTCTGCAGTATTTTTCAGATCCAGAGTTATTTTTTATAGTTCTGACAGCGGTACACACCCCACACACTTTTTCAACCTCATAGTGATTTTATGGTACGTGTGTTTTCTGTTTGTGTTTTTAATGAAGGAAAACCACTTCCTCAATCTTAGAGTGAAGTGAATTTGATAACAAATCCATTCAGGACTCACGGTATAAAAATAATGGCTGCACCTAAAGCGTTGACGTGGAAGAAAATGTTCCATTTGGGCAGAGCTTTGTTTAGGGTCAGCTGTCAACCCTTCTTTCTACCTGCTTGTATCCTCACATCAGATTAAGACAAACTGTTATAATAAGAGCATAAAACACGAACTATGCACTGAAAAATGTGAAGTCCTGCTGGTGCAGCTGCAGTTCTGCTGCTGTTTGAAACCCAGGGAAACTGAGTAACATTGTTTTTCTGATGATCAGAGGTCTTTATGCTTCTTACCCTACCAGGCCCTCTGAGATGATTTCTGGCTTTAAATCATTTATTGCCTTGTCGAACAGAAGCAGAGTTCTAAAATCCATCTGTTCTCCAACAAGGAGCCAGTGCAGTGATTTAAGGACAGGTGTGGTATTTCTTCATTTTGCTGCTGTTTGTCAGAAGTGAGCCACTGCTGCCTGTTTTATTTTGTTCTACCTCAGACCTGTAAACGCAGCACTTCTTAAATCTTAAACAAATCATTACCTAATTACCTGAGCTGACCTACTAAAACAAAATAAATGTATAAGAAAAGTAGGTTCTATATTTTTGGTTTGACAGAAACCCCTGACATGTAGGAAGTGCACATGATGTAACGGTGGCAGGTTGGCAGTTTGCTCCTGTTCTGTAGATCTGGGCCAGAGGATTGCTACAGTGTTGCCTGTCTAGGCTGACAGGCAGAGCAGACTAAATGTGGATTATTTCATTCTACATTGCCTAGAGCACAGAATATTTCTTCTGGTATCGTACGTCTGTTTAAACATGTTTGGTCTTTATCATCTTTTTCTGATCTGGCCCACATAAGAACCATCTGGGCTGCTACGTCGCTGGGTTTTCTAATGCTATTTGAATTCCATCCATTAGTGTGCAGTTGGTCACTAAACTGATTTGACTGATGTTTTTAGTGGTTGAATTCTACTGTCTCTTTCTTATTATCATGTTTTCCATCTCTTCACATGCATCACTTGCTCCTCTTATCAAAATGATCAAAACAAAAATCCCTGTTATTCTCTATCTTTTTAAGCCTTCTATTGAATGTATCTGTTTCAGACTGAGACTTGTTATCCTTATGGCCTCCAGAGTCAAGGCTCACAGTACACAGT